AAGGATTCTCAACTACCATTTATAAACATATGATACGAAGTATAGTATGTCGGCATATCTGCTCCAGGTCCATCCTGTTACTCACAAGTAAATCCCCACTTTCTTCACTTGGAGTGAGGTATTCTTTTTCCACATTAACTTACAGCTTCTGAGTCCATTAAGTCCTGGACACCTAGCCCCAGATCTCTGGCAAGGTGCGATTAGGAAAGTCACCCAGTGGAAATATTATGGGATCTCCTTGTTTACCTCTGTTTCTACATGGGCTGATAGCACTGCTCTGAGTCCCTACTCTAGAACTGCAACCTGAAGAAATTAGAGGTCAAGGTTCTGAAGAGTTGAGAGCAAAGAGAAAGATGTTTCTCACTGGAATTTGCAAGTTGAGAAGCAGTAATACAGTTTTATTCAGGCAAAATTAAATATTCTTGGAAGTTTATATTCTCAATGACTCCAGCATACGAAATCAAAGCAATGACTTCTTTTTATTTCTTCTAGACATTTAAGGGTATTTTTAGATTGAGCCTCTCTTTTTATTTTTATTTTTTGGTGGGGGAAAAGGCTTTACTTTTTTCATATACACAGTCTCAGGATGAACTATTGGTTGGATCTTCAGCTATAAATATATAGAAAGCTTCTAGCAAGTTTCACAACATAGAAATCTTATGGATTGTGGCACCTATTTTAAAAATTTGATAAATCTTCAGGTCCTTATCTTTATATAGATAGATCAGAGAGTTGGCTCTTATTAGGAGTTTGATGTAGAGGGAAAGCACACGTAAAATGGATTTGCACTATGATTTTTCCCCAAGAGATTACTTTCTAATCATTGAATTCAAGCCTTTTTTTGAGTATTTAGAAGGTATACAAACCACTGTGTGCAATTCTTCAGAGACTTAAAGATGAACTAAGAAATTATGCTTGTCCTCAATGATTATTAAACACAGTAGATCTTTTTATGGCTTCTCTCAGAGAAATTGTGGAGGTACTGATTTCTTTTTACATATAGATAAATTATTTTATCTCCTCTATGGTCCATCTGATGGCAATTTCATCACATTTTCCTGAACTAGAGCTCTTCCAATTTGGTATCCAGAAAACTTATCCTCTACCAAAGAGTTTTTTCAATTATCTTTGCCATTGGCTATCTTTTCCTATCAGTGTTTTTAAAATGTGTCCTAAAGAGTGTGCTCTATTATTGATAACTTTTCATTAGGTATGGTTTCCTAAAAATGAACACCAAGTGTAACATTAGAGAATAGATCTGTCTCTTTCCTAATATATACAGCCATTAGTTTGATCAACATCCCGTCACAACTATGTGTTTGCTTAAAATTTTTAAAAATAGCTTTATTGAGGTATAACAGATATACAAAGAGTGGCACATATTTAATGTGAAGGCGTTTACTTTCTTGAACTTGATATCTTGCATAAGGAAAAAGCAGATTTTTCACCAGAACTAATCAATTCATGATCACAGCTATACTCTGTTACATATAACTGAGAAAACTGTAATACAGTCCATTCGTTTATCATTAGTCTTCTAATGCAGCTTAAAACAATCTATGGTTTGAGTAGTCTCAAGAAGTTGTACAGACTCAGCAAGGATCCTAGGCCATTGCTGCTTTAAGGAGGGTATCTCTTATAGAATGGAAGTGGGGGAAGAATGCTGATAGATTACATTCCAATTTTAGGTGCTATAAAATAAAGGAACTACAACTTATAAGTTATAGCTGAATACTTTGATTAACTAGATTAAGTGAATGCACACCCACCTTCCATATAACACAAAGGAAGATAAGAAAAGCCCTTGACATAATTTCATTACTGAAACCAGAGGAAATATAAAATCCAAACCCATTGTCCAATTACTCTAAAAAAACCAATCAACAAATAACCTAATTATCAATCCTAAATTATCAACAAATATCCTAAAGCTAAGATTGATATTTTGTGCAGCCATTAACTTAAATTCTCATGTGGCCAAAACCAAATAACTCCAGCTTTCAGAGTTTGGTGATCCATTTTCCATTTAAATCATCCTAGCAATTCTATTGGAGTAAATTGGTCCTTAAATAATAAGTTACACAGGACCCTTGTTTAAGTTAAACTATCATTCAGAGAGGGAAAAATTAACATTCATAAAATTGTCTCATCAAAAACAATCTTCCCCCTATCTTTCATGACCCCAAACAGGGCCTTCTCAATCAAGAACATGCCTAAGCACTTAAGATTTTTACAGTAGCTTTCATAAAACTGTTAGAACAGTTTTACTTCCACTCACAGGTCATCCCATTGTATTGTCTGGAGGAGCACACAAATCATTATTACTTTTCCCAACAGAATGTCAAGTGTACTGATATTGAAAGCAGGACTCCTTTTTCTATCAACAATGTTAAAAAAAAAAAAGGACTACTGTTAATTAAGTACATATTATGAACCAGACGGTTTATATGTTATCACTAGGCTTCACCACAATCTTTCAAATTACATATTACAATCCCTATTTTGCTGAAGCTGAAAGCAATTGAATAACGTCAAAGGTCACACAGTTAGGAGTTACCTCGTTACATAGCTGCTGTTTCTCTGTCACACTACATCTTGGAATACTGATATTAGGTAATCCCCAGAGCACATACATTTGTTCATTCATTCACTCAGCAACTATTTAATGAAGCCAATTTAGCTCATACTGGAAGCATAATTGAGATCACTGATACCTGAGATACAGCCTAAGGGTCATCACTGTTCATTGCCCTAGCTCTTAATGATTTGTCCCTAAATCAAGTTACATGAACAGAGTCAGCATAATTGGAATGTACTAGTTTAGCTTCCCAAATAACTTCTATTGTGTGTTACGTCTTTCATTTTGAATCAACCACCACAAGAAAACTGGCCACGTGATAAACATTTTGATAGCTTTTACAAAACAACAGAAGTTACATTTCTCTCTGTTTTCCTTGGTATTATTTAGAAAGCTCTACTTATTAAATTCCATTTGGAACTTAATGTCAATATGAAGTTTGCCATTTTAGATATGCTCCAAAACTTCCTTCAAGGGGGAAAGGTAAGCTGGAATGAAGTGAGAGAGTGGCATGGACGTATATACACTACCAAACGTAAAATAGATAGCTAGTGGGAAGCAGCGGCATAGCACAGGGAGATCAGCTCGGTGCTTTGTGACCACCTAGAGAGGTGGGATAGGGAGGGTGGGAGGCAGACGCAAGAGGGAGGAGATATGGGGATAGATGTATATGTATAGCTGATTCACTTTGTTATAAAGCAGAAACTAACAGACCATTGTAAAGCGATTATACTCCAATAAAGATGTTTAAAAAAAAAAAACTTCCTTAAAAAAAAATAAGGCAAATAGATCCACTCTATATCTCCTTTTTTTTTTTTTTATTTCCTTTTTTTGTCTTGGCTGTCAAGAAGCATAAAGTGACATGTGAATTTCAGTAGCAGTAACTGCCTCATTTTAGGGCAACTTGAATATCTTTCATTCTCCAAATCGTTTTCAATCTATTTTATAAGTCTTGGTTTTAATTACCTATTGTATTTTTGAAAACAGATAGGCAACAAGTCAGGAGAAAATAATTAGGATGTTATGATTTCCTTCCCCTTTATAGAATTCACCAAAAGAGGGCTTCCCTGATGGTGCAGTGGTTGAGAATCTGCCTGCCAATGCAGGGGACACGGGTCTGGGAAGATTCCACATGCCGCGGAGCAACTAGGCCCGTGTGCCACAACTACTGAGCCTGCACGTCTGGAGCCTGTGGCCCGCAACAAGAGAGGCCGTGACAGTGAAAGGCCCATGCACCGCGATGAAGAGTGGCCCCGGCTTGCCGCAACTAGAGAAAGCCCTCGCACAGAAACGAAGACCCAACACAGCCAAAAACATAATAATAAATTAATTAATTTTTTAAAAATCCTTAAAAAAAAAAAGAATTCACCAAAAGAAACCAGGCTTCTCACAGGTTACAGCAATGCTTTCCCAAGAATAATATATTTTAGCATTTGATTTCTGTTCAACATTCTACAATAAGCATAAGGTTCTCAGGAAACAGAATCTGTGCATTTTCGAGAAAATTGTCCGTGTGTGAGAATTATGGGAAATTTTAAATAAGAAGAGAGAATTACTACAAATTTACCACTATATCAAAAATGTGCTCAAAACACACCTTTTCTAAAGGTGCCTTTTCTAAAACACAATCTGTTAACTCTGAATATTCCACAGAGTCACCATAATATCGTCAGTGTGGATAATGGGCAAAAGAAATATCTAAACTGGAAACACATATAGACTTGTATTCCTGAACTCTGTAATGGGGATGAAAAACGAACCATCTCTTCAGTTTTTCCTCATGACAACACTTACACCGTGCATATTTCAGTGAGAACGTTTTAAATGCATAAGAAATAAACTCACGATATTTGGAATTTCATGAATGATGTGAAACCATGAAATAACTTAGGACACTGAGAAAGTATAATGTGTGCATCCCTAATAACCAGAATTATTGCACTTGAAAAGAAACTAAACGCAATTTATGAATTTGTTAGGTAATTTCATGTGTAGTCAGAAGCCACTCTATTTATAATAGTTTATTCAAAACATCATTTATATACTTTTGATTGAATTAGATTTATCCCCTCTAGAAGAATCTGTGTTCTTAACAGATAAATTGGCATCAGACGTTCAACATAAACCTGCTGGACGGCCGATGGGAAATAAAAACAGCAATCAAAAGCAGGAAGAGCTGTACAGTTGGTAAATTAAATTAGAAAAATTATATAGAGTATTAAAAAGTACTGTATAAAATGGATATAAAATTTTATATATAACATACACAAATATATTTTTTTAATTATTATAAATAGACGTGAGGAAAAGCCTGAAGGAAGTCGGCCTGGTTGTCAATGGTGTCTGCAATGTTTATAAAAATTTCTTGCTGTTTTATAAATTCCGAATAAATACTAATTACCTGTAATACGAGATACCTTGCTCAAAGCTCAGGGGAGAATGTTTGATATGCACTCACCTGAATTAATGCATGATTATCTTTAGAAAACACGGAATCGCCCGAGAGCAAGACAGGCTCGCTTTTCTCACAGCTCTCCTGGCTGATGAGCGTGTCCACGTAGTTGGGCTGCGGGAAGATCACGTGACTCCCCCGCGAGTCAGCGGTGAGCGAGACCTCGTGGGAATAGGTCTGCAGGAAAGCCCGCACCCCGTCCACGCCCACAAAGTGAGACGTGGGCACACCCACTAACCCACCTCCTGAAGCCTGGAGCAGGCGCGACGTGTGCCAGCGCCTCAGCCTGAGCGCCAGCAGCACAATGACAAAGGCGAGGAAGACGCAGGAGATCGCAGCCACCGCCACCACCAGGTACAGCGTGAGGCCCGAATTGTCGGGGCTGACGGGAGACTCAAGGCTGCCTAGATCAGCCAGGACGTCGGGGATGCTGTCCGCTACTGCCACTGTGAGCGTGACAGTGGCTGAGAGAGGGGGCAGCCCGTGGTCCTGGACCACCACCACCAGGCTCTGCTTGAGTGTGTCACTGTACAGCAGGGCCCTCGCTGTGCGCACCTCGCCCGTGTGCAGCCCCACCGCGAAGAGCCCTGGCTCGCTGGCCTTGAGGAGGCGGTAGGACAGCCAGGCGTTCTGGCCTGAGTCTCTGTCCACAGCCACCACCTTGGTCACCAGGTAGCCGGGCTCTGCCGAGCGGGGTGCCAGCTCCACGCCCATGGAGCCATCGGTGGGTACGGCGGGGAAGAGGATCTCTGGCGAGTTGTCGTTCTGGTCCAGCACGAACAGGCTCAACGACACGTTGCTGCTGAGTGGAGGGTCCCCGCTGTCATGTGCCATCACTTGTAGCTGCAAGTCTCGGAACTGCTCATAGTCGAAGGAGCGCAACGCATACAGGATGCCAGTGTCTGAGTTTATGGAGACGTAGGAGGACAGGGGAGCTCCCTGGAGGCTGTCCTCCGCCAGGGAGTAAGTGACCCGGGCATTCTCTCCATAGTCGGGGTCATGGGCGGTCACAGAGACGATGGACGCTCCTCTGGGGTTGTTTTCTAGGATATATGCGGAGTAGGAGGCACGAGAGAAGGCGGGTGGATTGTCGTTGGTGTCTGCCACGTTCAGGGTGATGTGAGTTTCCGTGGACAGGGGCGGACTTCCTCGGTCAGTGGCAGTCACCGTGATGTTGTAGCTAGGAACCAGTTCTCGGTCTAGGAGTGTGTCTGTTACTAAACTATAATAATTCCCATAAGCCTTTTCTAATTTAAAGGGCAGATTCCCTTGGATGAAACAAATCACTTGTCCATTTTCCCCAGAGTCTTGATCGTTTACATTTAGAAGGGCAATTAATGTCCCTCTGGGAGAGTTTTCCAGAATGGAGCTGGAGAGAGAGGTGACTTCTACTTCAGGGGCGTTATCATTCACGTCCAAAACTGTGATGAGGACTTTGGCTCGTGCAGAATATCCTGCGTTATCCATTGCTTGCACTTCCATCTCGTAGAATCCTGATTCCTCGTGGTTCAACTCCCCCATTGTTGAAATTGTTCCTAAATTACAATCTAGCTTGAAAAGTTGGGCCGCTTTGTTGTCCACATACCGGAAGGAATACATCACTTCCGCATTGGCTCCTTCGTCAGGGTCGGTGGCGTTTACCAGAAGCAGCTCAGTGCCCACGGCCACATTCTCCGGAACGCTCACACGGTACTCGGACTGAGCAAACGCTGGTGCGTTGTCGTTCGCATCAACGACCACCACACGGATGCGCGCGGTGCCAGTGCGGACTGGATAGCCCGCGTCGGAAGCCGTGAGAACTAGGTGGTGAACGGCCTTTTCCTCGCGGTCCAGGGCGCGCTCCAGCACCAATTCCGGATATTTATTACCATCCGCTCCGCTTTGCACGTCCAGGGAGAAGTGAGTATTACTACTGAGCTCATAGCTCTGGAGTGAATTCTTCCCTATATCCGGATCCCAAGCGTGGGGAAGGGGGAACCGCATCCCAGTGGCTGCATTTTCACTCATTTTTATTTCTAATTCACCTTCCTGGAAATACGGGGCATTATCATTAATGTCCCTCACTTCTACCACTACCCCGTATATTTTCACTTTATCCTCCATCAGAATCTCCAGATTTAGTTGACACTTGATGGCCCCCATACAGAGCTCCTCCCGGTCTATCCTGCCGGCAGTGACCAAGCTGCCGCTTCGCGGATTCAGAGCAAAAAGTTGTGTCCTACCTCTGGAGACGATGCGGACTCCGCGCTCCTCCAGTTCCCAGGGCTCCAACCCCAGATCCTTGGCGATGTTCCCCACCCTAGAGCCTTTCTCCAGCTCCTCAGGAACCGAATAGTGGATTTGGGTGCATCCAGTTTCCCACTGAACCCCCAGGAGAACTCCCAGCAGGACCAGCTTTTTGCAGTCCTGGTGCAGTCGCGCAGGAATCATTGTCACTTTCCTTGAGGATTATTTCCAATTCTTCCCTTGATCACCGAAGTCCGGATCAGCTCATCCGTCCTTAAAATCCGACAGCTGGGGGACCCGAGCTCTTCCAGTCAGTTTCCTCACAGTCCCGGAGATGGTTAGTTTCTATCGGTGCTTAGTGCTTCAACGCGAGTGCCCGGCTAGCAGGATCTCTCTCTCCTTTTCTCTCCCTGATTGGTGAACAGCGGCGCTCAGAGTCCTAACCAATTACTGCACAATCTTGATCTCCGGGAAAGGATTTTGGTTTTTAGACCTTAAATAGCTCCACCTACTGTTCTCCAAATAGGGATGGAAGTGGAGCCAACCAAAACTACAGTATTCATTTTACTTGGAATTTCAGTGAACTTCTTTTTATTTCCCTAGATTTTTCATACAGAGTCACTTTCTTGAGATTATTTTCTGTACCTGTAGGCGTATTCTGATTTTTCCAATGAGCTTTTACATGAATTTGAAGTTTCTATACACAGTACATTTAGCTGTATATTTTAGTGCACCTGCTTTGATATCACCCCCACCACACATACACACCTATTATGGGAATCTCCTTAGGAGTTTCATGTTTTGAGAAATTATATAATAGAATAATTTAAAAATTCTCACTCAGCTAATATCTGTGGCAAAATTTTTTGGTAGATTCTTAAATTTGCCTAAATGGAAGAACTACTTTAACATGTTGTTGACACTTAACATTTTAAAATCAAATTTTCACAATAATATGGAAACCTAAAAATAAGAAACTTGATTGTACACATTACCAGAATCACACCTGGCAGGAAATCAAGTGAAGAAGACACAGTAACATTTTTAGAACAAAATGGAAGCATTCCAACTAGCATTTGCTTGAAATAAGGGTAGTACTCTACTAATATATTTCAAAAGAATATTTAGTTATCTTTTTTTTTTTTTTGCAGTATGCAGGCCTCTCACTGTTGTGGCCTCTCCCGTTGCGGAGCACGGGCTCCGGACGCACAGGCTCCGGACGCACAGGCTCCGGACGCACAGGCTCAGCAGCCATGGCTCATGGGCCTAGCTGCTCTGCAACATGTGGGATCTTCCCAGACCGGGGCATGAACCCGTGGCCCCTGCATCGGCAGGCGGACTCTCAACCACTGCGCCACCAGGGAAGCCCTAGTTATCTTTGATAAAGGAGGCAGGGATATACAGTGGAGAAAGGACAGCCTCTTCAATAAGTGGTGCTGGGAAAACTGGACAGGTACATGTAAAAGTATGAGATTAGATCACTCCCTAACTCCATACACAAAAATAAGCTCAAAATGGATTAAAGACCGAAATGTAAGGTCAGACACTATCAAACTCTTAGAGGAAAACATAGGCAGAACGCTCTATGACATAAATCACAGCAAGATCCTTTTTGACCCACCTCCTAGAGAAATGGAAATAAAAACAAAAATAAACAAATGGGACCTAATGAAACTTCAAAGCTTTTGCACAGCAAAGGAAACCATAAACAAGACCAAAAGACAACCCTCAGAATGGGAGAAAATATTTGCAAATGAAGCAACTGACAAAGGATTAATCTCCAAAATTTATAAGCAGCTCATGCAGCTTAATAACAAAAAAACAAACAACCCAATCCAAAAATGGGCAGAAGACCTAAATAGACATTTCTCCAAAGAAGATATACAGACTGCCAACAAACACATGAAAGAATGCTCAACATCATTAATCATTAGAGAAATGCAAATCAAAACTACAATGAGATATCATCTCACACCAGTCAGAATGGCCATCATCAAAAAATCTAGAAACAATAAATGCTGGAGAGGGTGTGGAGAAAAGGGAACACTCTTGCACTGCTGGTGGGAATGTGAATTGGTTCAGCCACTATGGAGAACAGTATGGAGGTTCCTTAAAAAACTACAAATAGAACTACCATATGACCCAGCAATCCCACTACTAGGTATATACCCTGAGGAAACCAGAATTCAGAAAGAGTCATGTACCAAAATGTTCATTGCAGCTCTATTTACAATAGCCCGGAGATGGAAACAACCTAAGTGTCCATCATCGGATGAATGGATAAAGAAGATGTGGCACATATATACAATGGAATATTACTCAGCCATAAAAAGAAACGAAATTGAGCTATTTGTAATGAGGTGGATAGACCTAGAGTCTGTCATACAGAGTGAAGTAAGTCAGAAAGAGAAAGACAAATACCGTATGCTAACACATATATATGGAATTTAAGAAAAAAAATGTCATGAAGAACCTAGGGGTAAGACAGGAATAAAGACACAGACCTACTAGAGAATGGACTTGAGGATATGGGGAGGGGGAAGGGTAAGCTGTGACAAAGCGAGAGAGAGGCATGGACATATATACACTACCAAATGTAAAGCAGATAGCTAGTGGGAAGCAGCCACATAGCACAGGGAGATCAGCTCAGTGCTTTGTGACCACCTAGAGGGGTGGGAAAGGGAGGATGGAAGGGAGACACAAGAGGGAAGAGATATGGGAACATATGTATATGTATAACTGATTTACTTTGTTATAAAGCATAAACTAACACACCATTGTAAAGCAATTATACGCCAATAAAGATGTAAATAAATAAATAAATAAAAATTTTAAAAATTAATAAAAAAAGAATATTTAGGATCAATACCCTGTAATAAGCCATGATGGAAAAGAATATGAAAAAGAATATATATATATATATATATATATATATATATTAATAAAAAAAAAAATATATATATATATATATATATATATATATATATATGGTATATGAATGACTTTGCTATACACCAGAAACTAACACAACATTGTAACTCAGCTATACTTCAATTTAAAAAAAAAAGAGAGAGAGATTGTTCAGGAAAATTAGAACCCAAAGAATATTATAAGCTTACCTTTTTCTGGGAAACAAACCTAATTCCAGTTACTGAGATTCACTGGTAGTACACTGGAAGCCCATCAGAATACAGGAAAAAAATCCTCACTATTGTGCTTTTATGTGTGTAAATATTTAGATTCTGAGGATAAACATGTTTGGCAGGTATACCATAAAATAATATCTTTCTTTGTGTGTGTGGTATGCGGGCCTCTCACTGCCGCGGCCTCTCGCATTGTGGAGCACAGGCTCCGGACACGCAGGCTCAGTGGCCATGGCTCCCGGGCCCAGCCGCTCCGCGGCACGTGGGATCCCCCCAGACCAGGGCACAAACCCGTGTCCCCTGCATCGGCAGGTGGACCCTCAACCACTGCACCACCAGGGAAGCCCATAAAATAATATCTTTAACACTGGGATGAAATCTACAGGTAGCTCTGAGAAAAGGTAGGGCACAAAACTGATCTATTCAATGGCACTCAAAGAATCCCTAGCAAATTGTACCTAGAGTAAAGAAAAGCCTTCAGAAAAGCCTTATATGCCAAGATATTGATGTTCTGAATAAGAGAAACGCCCACAGGAAAAAAATATTATGCTTCCATTAAAATATTTGAATGGCAGCGGCATCATAATACCCACTTCTCATAGTAAGAGAGATTTTGTTTGTGGATAAAGAATAACTCATGAAATTGTCAAAATATTTAAAATACTTGAGGGTTAATAATGGAGTTACTGACCCTCTCAGAAAGGGACAGAAAAGACTGAGAGAGGGCAAACAAAACTGAAGTGATAGTAGATATAATCTGTTTAAGATTTTCTTTCCTAAATCTTGGTTTAAAAAATAAACCAAATCCACATGCAGATGAAAGGCATTCATTGAAAGTCACGTAAATGGAAGCAACAGAGCTAGAGTTTAACTTGTTATTCTCCTCAGTGACACTTACTACCAAAAGAGCTTCATTAGAAAGATCTTGCGGGGGCACCATTTCTGGGGTCATGGTGAGAAAACTGAACCTTGTTTTCTGAGAATCGCAAACGTAATAGATTGTAGGAATAAGGCAAGGTTCCCTTGCTGTAGTTCGGAGAAACCCCTGGACCAGTCTTAGAACAGAGATTAGGCTGAAAGCAGCACCAAGTGGCCAGGCTAGAGGAGCGTCGCAGGCGCAGAGCAATGGCCAGAATCACCACGAGGAGGAAGAGCACCGAGATCAAGGCCAAGGCCACCACCAGGTAAAACTGCAGCTCAGCTTGGGGGTCAGTGGGCTCAGAGTGGTCACTGAGGTCCGGCAGCGCCTCCTGCAGGCTGTCCGCGAAAACCAGGAGCAGCGTGGCGGTGGCCGAGAGGGGCGGCTGGCCCCCATCGCGCACAGCAACCAGCAGGCGCTGGCGGGCCGCGTCCCTGTCGCCCAGGGCCCGCGCCGTGCGCACCTCGCCCGTGCGCAGCCCCACGCTGAAGAGTCCGGGCTCGCTGGCCTGCAGCACGTGGTAGGACAGCCAGGCGTTGTGTCCAGAGTCGGCGTCCACCGCCACCACCTTGGTGACCAGGTAGCCGGGCTGCGCGGCGCGCGGCACCGTGTCGAAGAGCGCCGAGCCGTCGGGCCCTGGCGCCGGGTACAGCACCCAGGGCGCGTTGTCCTTGAGGTCGCCCACCAGCACGCGCAGGCTCACGTTGGCGCTGAGCGCGGGCGAGCCGTGGTCGCGGGCCTGCAGCGTCAGCAGAAGGCGCTCTGCGCGAACACCACACCGCTCTGTGCGCTCACGGACACGTAGGACGACGGTGCGCGGGGCTCCAGGTCGCTGGTCAGGATGGAGTAGGAGACGTGGCCGTTGGGCCCCAGGTCGGGGTCGGAGGCGCTGACTTGCGCGATGGAGGCTCCAGGCAGGTTGTTCTCAGCCACGTGGATCACGAAGGAGGCCTGGTGGAAAACCGGAGTGTTGTCATTAACGTCGCTGATGTGTAGAGTGACACTTGTGCTGGAGGAGAGTGGCTGCTTGCCCCGTCGGTGTCTGCGATGGTGACAGTGTACTCTGGGGTCTGCTCCCGGTCCAGGGCCCCATCTGCCACAAGCTTGTAGTAATTATTGGCGGAAGATTCAATTCTAAAAGGAGCTCTCTCTTTTATGAGACATGTGACCTCCCCGTTTTCTCCCGAATCTTTATCACGTGTTTCGAACAAAGCAATCACAGTTCCCGGTTCTGCAGCCTTGGTTATGGAACTAGACACCGAAGTGAAAACCACCTCTGGGCCACTGTCGTTCTCATC